CTTTTCCCCCTCCTTTTGTATCTGTTGCTTTTGTTAATGAAATTCTCAGTTTCTAATAAAAAAAAGAAGGAATATAAAAAGGAAAACTGCGACTGAAGATTATTGTTTGGAAGCCAAGCATCTCCCAGAGACCAACGCTACATCCATCTCCAGCTGAAAACTTAACAGTAGACATAAAATCAAAAGACATATTGATATATCGCCTTCCTTGGGGATCCTAAAAGCCAACAGGCAAGATAAACCACAGACCATCGCTCTCATTCTAAAAATTTGAGTATCGGGAAATGGGTGGCTACATAAGCACATTCCTCACCCACGAGGAAGTTGCAGGACTTAGAAATTAAACAAACAAACCAACAAAAATGAAAAAGTAAGCAGAGTTATAAGATTACAGGGGGGCTTGTGTATGCTTCAAACGCGAAACCGGCAAGAATGACGGCGAGATTGATATCGAAGGGTGGCCGTTCATTTCCTTCCAGGAGCGATAAATTTTCAACTTCAATCCCTGTTCTACAGAGGCAACGAAACGAGGATGCTCCGATGCGACCCCAAGGATTAATCCGGAAAGTTAAAACCCTAGCTCTCCCGGAAAACGCAGGTCGGAGGTTACGGGAGACGAGGAGGCACCGCGTTTGACGGAGATTGGGAAGGAGAGGGGAGAAAGAAGAATTGTAGGGAAGATGGGTGTGAAGAGAGGCCATAGCAGCAGCAGAGGCAACAGCGAGGGGACTAGAAGAAGCTTTGCGTACGGCAACGGAACAGCGAGTAAGGTCTAGAACAGAGTAACGGTCATTCTAGAGCGCGCCCATTTTCACATTGTTTTTATGCACTCGTCACCAAACGGGTGGTTTATACCCGCCATTCATGGATTCAACCACAATTTCATTTGGGAAGATTTTCAATTTTGCCCATGTAATTTGAGATTTTTTTACTTCATGACTCAAAATATTTGACCCAAATTGATTTTGAGGGTGGGTTTGATTTTGAGTTGGGTTTTGATGTATTTTGAAGATGGGTTTGATCTTGAAGTTGGGATTTGATGGAAGTCTTAGGGTCTGTTTGGGTGGAAACTCGGAATTCAGCTAATACGTATTTGGCAGGATTTTGTATATTCTTTTTTTAAAACTGTTTTCGGATTCTGTGATTCAAACAGTAGAAATTCTAAAAATGATTTTCTTATCTTTTCAGTGTTTTCAGATTCAGAATTTGAAATTTTGAATATGCAGAATTACATTAAAAATGATACAAACTTTGATAAATATATTACTTCATATTATAAACTCATGTTATGTTTGTTAAAATTAAAAAAAAATCATAAAAAAAATATTAATAAATTAATTAATATAAGTTTAGATTAAACTAAAATTTAGTTTGCAAACTACTTCTAGTTTACAAATATATTACTAAGCACACATTGAACAATTTTTTAAATTGAGATTCAATTACCAAATACTGAAAACAAAGAATACAACTTTTGTTTTCATTGAATCTTTTGTTTTCAAATTTCTGTTTTCTGATTACCAACCAAACGCACCCTTAGTTTTTTATTTTGAATCTGGGTTGTTATTTTGAAAGTTTGAAGGTGGATTTTGAGGGGAAGAAAGAGGAGGAAAAATCAAATTTTGCCTAAAACAAATTTTGCTCTTTTCCTTCTTGATTTGTAATTGAAAGAACCCACATAAACAATCTCAAAATTTGTTGATCTTCTTCTCTCTGTTTTGTAAAAAAACAATATTTTTTGCCTATCGAATGAAGTTCTTTTTGGTGATCTCTTGGCCTCTGAGGGTTCAAAGGTTTTGAAGAGTGTTGAGAATGAAGAGCCTATACTGGATTATAAAAAAAACCTCCATTGAGGACATTTTTTAAATCATGTCTTTAAAACTCAACTTTGATCTATTCAACTTGTATTTCTTCAACATGAGCTAAATTAGTTTCTCCTAACTCAATTATTGAAAATTAGCTAAAACTTTTTAAAAACCAACGAGGTGGTAAAAGGTGTTTCTCACTTCTTTTATCATTTAAAATTGAAAATTAGCTAAAACTTTTTAAAAACCAACAAAGTAAAAGGTGTTTCTCACCTCTTTTATCATTTAAAATTGTTTTATAAAGTTAAAGGATTAATTTGGCGAATTAATGTTTTAATAAAACTCAATATTGAAAGAGTTGAGTCTTTTTTACAACTTAAATGATTTAAATTCAAAGAGAAAGACTTTAGACATTAAGGTTTCGTTCTAGTAGCCTAGACATAGGACCTCGACCCAAGGTTACGGTTGGTTTTTATTAAATTAAGTTCACTTTTCTAATAGACATATTAGAAACGGATTTATATCTTTAAAATCACTTAGACATAAGAAAATTGCGAAGCAGAACTGATGAAAAACCTAAGAGGCGTCTGACGCCTAGCAGATTAATTTTGTGTAATTTTAGCTAATTCGAAGTAATTGGGTTGAGTTGCATTAAGTTTTTATACATCAAACCGACATCAATTGTGTTATTTGTTACCTTAAATTCATTTGCAAAGTTGCTAATTAACGTCATTTTATTAAAAAAAATGCTTCATTAGTCTCTGTGGGTCGATACTTGAAATAGTCATTTCATTTTATTACTTGTGACGGGTGTACATTTTGCTCTAGCGATTTATTTCGAATAAAAAATCTCAAACAAGTTTTTTGGCATTGTTGCCAAGGACTATTTTTTTTTTTTAGTATTTTCTTCATTTTTGTAATTAGTTTTTGTAGATGTTGTTTCTGTTCTTAAAAAGTTTGTCGATATACATCAAACCTCAAAGGTTGTTGTTCAGTGTATGAGCATGGAATCATTTCTATTGCCCTTCGATCATGAAATTGGCATAACCTTTCGTAGGTTGAGAAGAGAATAGTGACTTAGAAAACAACTAGAAAAACAAAAAGAGAAAGAATTAGAAGTAGATCCTGAAAGTGATAATGAGAGTACCATTACGTTTAAGGACAAAGTTCCACCTCGAAATCCTGCAGACTCACCAATTGACAATAGAAACGGAGATATGGCAGGTCATGGTAGAGGTCAACAAAACAATTAGGAGTTTAACCATATCCATATGGTAAATACGTAGCTATAGACTCACCAATTGACAATAGAAACGGAGATATGGCAGGTCATGGTATAGGTCAACAAAACAATTAGGAGTTTAACCATATCCATATGGTAAATACGTAGCTATATACAACTACAACTTTCTAGAATTTGGACTCAGTTATCTTGAATCCTATTCCAGAAGCTGCCAACTTCGAAGTAAAGTCACTCATGTTTTAAAGACTTTAGACATTAGGACAGTTTGGAAGTTGTGAACATGAAGATCCTCACAACCATCTTAAATCTTTTCTTCAAATTGAAAATGCTTTTAGATTGCCAAATATTACTGATGATGCATTGAGATTAACTCTTTTTTCATTTCTCTCAGGGACAAGGCAAGAACGTGGCTTAACTCATTTCCACCAGGTTCAATCACCACATGGGAGTTGCTAGTACAAAAGTTTCTTACGAAATGTTTTCCTCCCACTCGTTATGCCAACATAAGATAAGAGATTGTTACATTTAGACAATATGATAGTGAACTAGTGCACGAGGCATGAGAGAGATTCAAAGAGTTGCTAAAGAAGTGTCCAAACCACGGATTACTAGCATATATCTAGATCGAGCATTTCTTTCGAGGTTTGGACCATCCAACTGAAGGGATGTGAATCCCGGAGCGGAAACGGATTTTCGTTGCTGATTTTCGGGATACAAAATCAAGTTTTAAAGAAGAAAATACAGGGGAAATTCCAAACCTTTGAAGAACGTTTCTTCAGTGAATTCCCCTCGAACACC